GAGGAAGGGAGAGGGATAGAGAGTTAGAAACATCGATGAGAGAGAAACATCGATCAGCTGCATCCTGCATACCTCCCACCGGGGATGTGCCCACAACCAAGGCACATGCCCTTGACTGGAATTGAACCCAGGACCCTTCAGTGCATGGGCCGCCCCTCTAACTGCTGAGCAGCACCGGCCAGGGTTGAACTGCACAAATCTTTTTTTAAAAAATATATTTTATTGATTTTTTACAGAGAGGAAGGGAGAGGGATAGAGAGTTAGAAACATCAATGAGACAGAAACATCGATCAGCTGCCTCCTGCACACCCCCTACTGTAGATGTGCCCACAACCAAGGTACATGCCCTTGACCGGAATCAAACCTGGGACCCTTCAGTCCTCAGGCCGACGCTCTATCCACTGAGCCAAACCGGTTAGGGCTGCACAAATCTTAAGTACACAGCACTATGGCTTTATTTCTTTTTATTTTTAAATACATTTTTATTAATTTCAGGGAGGAAGGAAAGGGAGAGAGATAGAAACATCAATGATGAGAGAAAATCATTGATTGGCTGCCTCCTGCATGCTCCCCACTGGGGGTCGAGCCCACAACCTGGGCATGTGCCCTTGACCAGAATCGAACCTGGGACCCTTGAGTCTGCAGGTCGACGCTCTATCCACTGAACCAAACCGGCTGGGGCCATGGCTTTATTTCTTTTCCCTGACATACTGTTATGAAGATTTTGAAGCAAAGTTGAAAGAATTACACAGCGAACCCCCTTACTCACTACCTAGCTGCTGCGATTAACATACTATGCCTGACTTCCTTCATTATATGTCTATGCAGACGTCCCTCTATCCATCCAGCAACCTATCTTCTCTCATTATATATTTCAAGTAAGTTGCCAACATCATATACTTCACCCTTTAACTTTGGAGCATTTACGTGATCAGCGTACTGGATTTTTATGTATATACCGGATCAAGATGTAACACATTTCCTGCTCCCCAGAAAGTTCTCTGTCACTGTCTCCCAGTCAGTGTCCCCCAGAGGTGACGAGTACCCTGATGGCTACGGCCACAGATTAGTTTCACCTGTTCTTGAATGTCACATAAAATGAATCACACGAATTCTTCCTTGGTGTCCAATTTTTATCACTCAATTACATTTACTTATGCATTTTGTCTTTGTGAGTCTTTTTGTTGTTGTTATTAATTTTCATTGATTTTTAGAGTGAGTGCAAGGGAGGGAAGGAGGGGAGGAGAGAGAGAGAAAGAGGGAGGGAGAGAGAGAGAGAGAGAGAGAGAGAGAGAGAGAGAAACATTGATGTGAGAGAGACACATCGATTGGTTGCCTCCTGCATGAACCCTAACTGGGGCTGGGGATCAAACCTGCAATCCAAGTATGTGCCCTTGACCGGGAATCAAACTCAAGACCCTTCAGTGTACAGGTTGATGCTCCAACCACTGAGACACCCCAACCAGGGCCAGAAAAAGAGCTTAAAAAAATACAGAGATGATTGCCAGAAACACAATAGAATGTTTACATTATTACAACCCTGTAAATGCTCTTTTCATTTACAAGATTTGGAAAACCCTAAAGAAAAGCAGACTGGGGCGGGTGTACTAGTCAGCTAATGCTGTGTAACAAATCACCTCAAAATGGAGTGGTTTAAGACAGAAATAACCACATTCTCTTCTGTGACCTCCCTGAGTTAGAAATTTGAAAGCAGCTTGGCCGCGGGGTTGCAGACAGATGTCAGCCGAGGCTGCCGTCATCTGACGGCTGGAGGATCTGCTTTGGGATAGTGGGGGCCCCAACTCTTGAACTTGGGGTGTGTGTGTGTGTGTGTGTGTGTGTTTAGGTTGGTGTAGCACAGTGGTTCTCAACCTTGGCTGCACATTAGAGTCACCTGGGAGTCTTTTTAAAATCCTGATTTCTGAGCCTCATCCTCCGGAAATTCTGTTTCTTTGTTATGGGGTGGGGCCACAACATTAGTAACAGACAGAATTTCCGGAGGATGAGGCCCGGAAATCAGGATTTTAAAAAGATTCCCAGGTGATTCTAATGTGCAGCCAAGGTTGAGAACCACTGGTGTAGCAGGAAAGTCCCTTAGGTGGACCCTGGAGGAAAGGGATCTTAAGGATGGAGTTACAAAGGTGGGGGTGTCCCAGGCAAAGAGGTGGGTCTAAGATCCCCCCAAGTTTCAGAAAGCTTCTTCAGCAGCGCCCTGAGGAAGGGGGGACATTCAGGGGGATCCTAAAGGAACAAAGGCTCGAGGGTTGTGCAAATAATGATGCAAGAGAGAGGAGGAAATATCGCAAGAGGGAACGTTTTGAGTAGGGACAGGGGAAGGGAGTCGGCGCCTGAGTGGAGGGTTGGCCTCTTACCGCTTGTCCAAACACGGCCCTGGGAGGGGCAGCCGCATGAGGCCCTCTGTGCATGGGCTGGGGATGTCCCTGGGGCCGCTTCTATTTTGTTTTTGCAGAAAAAGAAGAAGTGAGAATGAAGAGAGGAAGGGGTCCTGGAGGCTGAGAAAGAGAAAGTGAAAAAATGATTTCTTGGCGACGGGAGAAGAGAACGGTGGGTTGCTTCTGAGTGTCCCCTTGATTTCTGCTGTCGCCCCGTCTGAAGTGCTTCCTCTTGCAAGCTCAGCTGGGAGCGAACGGGCACAGAGGAGGCAGGGAGTTCCTGCTCACCAGGCAAGGACGAACCGGGGAGAAAGAGCAAGGGGGTTCTCCTTATGTGCGCAAGGACTCGATCATGGTGGTTCACCGTAGAAGCTATGCGTTTGAAGAAGGAAGTGGAGGTGAAGGAAACAGAGAAAGCAAAAGGGTGGGGTCAAAGGAGCAGAGGTACCAGTGGCATTACAGAATGGAAAGGCCCTACGTGATTTGGTCCCACTCCCTCCCTGCTGTCAGCTCTTCTCTCTCTGCCTCACTCGCCCCAATTCAGCCACAGTGGCCTCCTTGCTCTTCCTCAGACACCCGACACATGCTCCTGCCCCAGGACCTTTGCACAGGCTGATCTGCCTGGGAGTTTTCCCTCCAGAAAGCCCTGCTCCCTCTCCTCCTTCAAATTTTTGCTTAAATGTCACCTTCTTAGTGAAGTCAACCCTGACCACCCTATGGAACATGGCAGCCATTCTCCCCCACAGTGTACCCTGATCTACAGTTTTCATAGCCTCAAGGCTTTCTAACATGTCACTGACTCTAAGATTGTGAGCCATGTGCATGTTAGAATCAGTGATAGTGTCTATGTTGGTAATTTACTTATTACCTTTAATGCCTGTCCCCCGCCCTTTTTTTTTAAATATTTTATTGACTTTCCACAGAGAGGAAGGGAGAGAGATAGAGAGTCAGAAACATCGATGAGAGAGAAACATCGATCAGCTGCCTCCTGCACATCTCCTACTGGGGATGTGCCCGCAACCCAGGTACATGCCCTTGACCAGAATCGAACCTGGGACCTTTCAGTCCGCAGGCAGACGCTCTATCCACTGAGCCAAACCGGTTTCGGCTCCCCCCCTTTTTTTAAGAGAGAGAGTGAAAGGGAGGAGGATAAACAGAGACAGAGAGAGAGAAAGAAAGAAAGAGAGAGACAGAGAGAGAGAGAGAGAAACATCGATTGGTTGCCTCCCACAGGGCCCCAACCAGACCAGGGCTGGGGATCAAGCCTGCAACCAAGGTACATGCTCTAGACCGGAATTGAACCCGAGACCCTTCAGTCCATAGGCCAACGCTCTGCCCACTGAGCCAAACCGGCTAGAGCAGAATATTTTATCTTGACCCTTCAGGATCATCCCACCTGGATTCTGCACTAGCCCAGCTCCAGCCTGCATTTCCCCAGATGGCCACATGGTGGCGGTGTGGTCCTAGTTACACACACACACACACACACACACACACACACACACGAGTTTTTTTTTTCTTTTAAGGGTCCTAGTTTATGACTTCTTCAAACGTTATGAGCCATATTCCTAACAGCTAGAAAAGTAAAGATTTGTGATTATTCCCTAATCAGTACGAGGAAAGTGTTTCCTGATAGACTATTTTTACATGAATTCCAGTAATACAGTTACATGTATTTTTCACGTACATTTCAACACACATTTTTTGAAAGTCCTTTAAAAATTAGCCCTGACCGGTTTGGCTCAGTGGATAGAGCGTCAGCCTGTGGACTCAAGGGTCCCAGGTTCGATTCTGGTCAAGGGCATGTACCTTGGTTGCGGGCACATCCCCAGTAGGGAGTGTGCAGGAGGCAGCTGATCG